TCCAGCAACGATCTACACGTCGTCTTGAGGGTGGTTTCCTCTTACAAGTACCTCCCTCAGAGCGGCACCGCCCTAGACGGGACATGCCTTAAGCTCCCGACTGGTCTCCTGACGTGTGGTAATGTAGTGCGTGTAAGTGTAAGGGGAAAGGAAAGGGCGCGGAAAATGAAGATGCAAGGTGAGGAGGTATGAAAATGAAGGAAAATCTCGCGCGGTCCGGGCCCGTTTGCTGTAATAGTGCTCCGGCATTCTCTTGGCACTGATCGAAGAAAACACGGAAAACAACCAATCAATGCGGCCATCTCCAAATTTGTCCTTAAGACAGCAGCTGCTTTCGACTTAGAAATGTACCTAGTGTAGAAAATCCGCCACAATCGGGACTCTAAACATTGGACCTCCCGATCAGAATCGCTGCAGAATCAGGGTCAATGCTAGCTCTCAGCCGGCTGTTTGGTTTATTTTGTAAACTTATGTTTCTTCATGTGAGTGTTTGCCTTCGGAAATTTTCATTTATTTCATTTTAAGTTTCATAATAACAAGGGTTTCGCTTTGGGACTCGAATTGCCTTTATTACACTAAATCGCAACATTCAATTCGGACTTGTCGGATCAGTATTGTTTTATCGACCAAAAGATGACACTACGAAAAATCTCAAGAATTTTAGTACACATTTATTAATAGTTAATAGAGGGTGTCAAATATAACATCCTATTCCGAGGTTAATGAAATGGTTTTTTAAACAAATAAAGCAGAATATAGTCTGTATTTACGCTAATGCTCTATTCAGATACGGGAGTTATCTCAACAATGTTATTTGCCTGATTAAAAGGTTCTGTTAACTCAGCAAGTCATGTCAATCAGTTACAGTGATTGGGAGTGACACTGACGACATAAGGTAGGCTATGGAAAAATGCAGAAGAAAGACGCAGCAATTTAAACAATTGAGCTAACTAGGCATGATTTGAAGAGAGGAAATGTCGAAATATCTCGTAAAATCAACATTTTCAATATCCTTAATCTTCGTTTGTTCAAATTAAATGTCATTATGGAATTGAACTAATGCTTATGACTTCTTTTAATGACTAATTTTAATGACTTCTCTTTCTACCTTGTTCAAAAGAGTGCGAATAAAATTTAATTCGCATTAAAATTATTCGTATAAGAATACTTCATGGAAATGTGTCTGTACAGAACACGGCATGGCATATCCATGAGTTTCTATTTACTTATGCCTTTATAATTATCTCTTAAATTTTAAACAAATTTACCAAAAAAATATGTCAACTATGAATCTTCTCTAATAAGTGTACTATGTTTGTTAATGTCAATTAATGTAGTGTTAATCAATTAAATAATTTTGTTAACAGGAGTCTGTCTTCTCTAATTTATTTACAATGATACCCATCTCAGTGTTTTCGACAGTCATTTATTTACATATCTTCTCTTAAAGAAGAGATGAGAATATTGACAATTTTGTTTTACAAGTAAATATTTTAAAACGTCCATCTAAAACGTTTAGGTGTACCATTACGAACAAATGAATTTAGGGGAGACTGTTGTACCTTGCATAACAACTTACATTATATTTTTTTAAAGCTATTTTCAAAAACATTACAAGAAGAAGACCCTCGCATGATAACACTACAATTCTTACACACTATTTTTTTGATAATTTAAATGTTATGGATTTTTATAAAAAATATATTTATATTTTATTGATATGTGATCAATGGTACAAGACCATAATGTACCAATGATCACACTCTACCTTGGATCATAACTTCTTGTACCTACTAAGTAGACAATATATACGTAAAAACATTTTTAAATAGAAATTTACCTTTTATTGTGCCATTACAAAAGAAATAAGATTATATTAAAGTGTAACCTAATTTTAATCTGTAAACATACAAAAAATCACAAAATGAGAGAAGACACAATTTCAATGAAATAACTAGATATTTAGATTAAATTTTACTCAAAATTATTTCATTAAATCATTTAAGGTTAAATCCAGAAAGATGCACTTGGAACCACAGCTGCCCATTAGTTCTAGCCGACCCACTTGTTCAAAGATACAGGACGTTGGATTGATCCAAGGTAAATGATGCTGCGCCTTTTAAAACTTATTCTCTTCAACATTCTAGGATATGGTTAAAATTGAAATATGGATTATCAAATTACTCACCAATATGTAGTGATTCAGGTACAATGTGATTTAAAATACAAAACAAAATAGTCAAGCTGTTAATAACTATAGAGTGAAAACAAAAATCGTTGCCTTTTTGCTGGAATGAAATATTTATATTCTACTCGAAAGGAGTAGCACGTACACAATCTCACACTTGCATAGTCTTTAGTGTGTTAACTTTACATTAGTATAGTTGCTGTCACGTAGTTGGCAGCATCTCTCACGAAACTTAGGAGTGCATTATGATCAAGGTACAACAGTCTCCCCTACTATTTACACAAATCCCGGTCATATTTAGGAACAATAATACGTCGGTTTTGCTGCATTACTACGCATTTCGCAGGAGTCAGCAAAGGTGTATCATTACTTGCCATTTTAAATATCAAGGCAAAGATGGATATACCTTGTACATGAGAATTTTTTTCAACCTTTGTATAAGAACACGACCGTCCATCGAGTCTTTCCGGAAGCTCAGAACAAGTTGAGACCGGAAATCGTAGCTCTCTCCACCCGCTTTGGCCTCTCGGGCCATCAAGGACAAAATATAAAATTCAAATTATTCTGATCCTGCCAGAGGATATTTGATGTTGAGGAGAGACGAAACGGCTTTTGTTACTTGGATATAAACATGTGTTCAATCAATGCCAGTAGGCCGAGCATAAACTTCCCGTTAAATTTCCTGTCCCTACAAAAACCGCTGTAGGATAATATTCGGAACAAAATTTTACTGAGCCATATGAGATGTGCGGCGAACCAAGTACACCGCATTAACCAGAACCAAAAATTCCTGGTATTTCTTTCATACATCGCCTTTAACAAAACATGCGGATGAAATGGGGAACGTGTGCTCTCACGCATTCTAGTTCACTTCGGTTCATATGAAAGCGAGATGTAATGAAAAACGTAATTGATCTCGAACATTGGGACTAAGCCAAGGAAGTTAATTATTTTGTCGCAGTGAAATTGAAAACAAATCAAATGAAGTACATTAGCAATCTTTTGAGCTCAAAGCATTGTTTCATAGGAAATAAAAACATTGATTTCATGAAGGGAACTCGAGGAGACGTAATAACTCCAAAATAGAGGAAATTGTGAAGAATGTTGAAACTATATTTTGTAATGAAATAAAATGATTTTACTAATTAAGTTCATATATTATAGTCACTTATATAAAATGTGAGAGTTACTCACATCAATTTTCACGATTTTTTAAAACTTAATCAATTCAAGTAAATATTTTCAGTACTGTATAAAAATTGTTTCAAGTGATTCCCCATATTATTTTATAAATAAATAATCTCCCTTGGAATTAAGGAAATCAAAATTCATATCTTACGTTTATTATTCTTTAAATCCCATATTAGAAATCACAATCACATTACACCACACAGTTCATGGAATAAAAACATTAATAAATGAATTTTGATTGTCTATAATTTCAAGGAAGAACATTTATTTATTACTTATTCATGTATTTATTTATTATGATCAGTACTATCCTCATAATACCTTCATTGCATTAAATATTGATTAGGAATTTTTGTTTTAAATATTTTTTGTATTACATTCTTCTTCTTCTTCTTCTTCTTCTTCAGGCTTTGGCGTCTGTGACACTTTGCCACTCCAATTATTGGTAAAATCGTTTCATCGCATTTTCTATTTCTCTTTTCACATTCTATTCTTTGTACGTGACTTAATCATTTACGTATACTTGCAAAATGGAAGTTTCTGGAAAATAGAAAAGAGGTTTTTGCTGATTTTTATGTTATTTGGTGTGCTGATATTAAAAATTATCTTCTTTTCAATCATGACAGATTTTTGTAAAATCAATACCGACATTTTTTCTAAAATTCTATTTGATAAGTAATTCCCTTGAACACTTTGCATGTATATCCGTCATGAACTTTGTATATCCCTCTTGTTGACCAAGAAGCATGGAGACAACTTTCAAAACACCGGACATGGCCCAACATTTGTCGGCATATTTTATTTTGTGGAGAACAAGAGCCAAGTTTTCATGCGTAGCAATGCATTGAATGTCCAACTGGTACAGATGCATACTTCGTTCTGTGATGAAGCAGAACAGTTCGAAACTCCTTTTCGATGATATAAACAGCCTATTTATCTTTCTCGTAGGTGATATTAAATTTGCTTATGAATCCGGGAACATAAGAACAATGAGCCAGTTTTTCCCCTTTCTCGAAGTACTTAACAATTCCTTTTCCTGATTCCTGTACCAATAAAAAGGGATTCCTTTGGCCAATATTATTTTCTGTCAATCTAGACCCAACTATTCAGCTGCCTATTTCGAAAGACCCAGATCTCTAGTCATATCGTTAAGCCAGATCTGAGAAAAGGGATAAGGAGAATCGCCTCCAGAAGACTTAAGACTAATCGGTATCGGAGTCTTGAATTTCTTGATGTTCCGTGTCTGAAGGCTCTGAGGAGATCACTGCCAATTCAGTTGGAGGCAAAGGCACCGATTGATCAGTCATGTGAGTATTACCATGTAATTTTATCACGATAGGAAATTACCTTTTGATTTTTGCTGTTATACCCACATACATGGCAAGAACAAAAGGAACAATATATCAGAGTGTGTTTTCAGATTCCTAGATAGGAATTCCAAATCGTAAAGCAATCTTCTTTCATTAAGATACTGCAGAGAAACGTCATGGGGAGCCAACTATTTTTTCCTGGTCTCCGTGTTTCATGCAAAAAATAGATAAGATAATTTTTAATGCTCCTCATGCTAATTTTTAATAACTCTATATTCCCCGCCTATGTAACAAATGTCATTGGCAAATGTTCACGTCTGAAACTCGAAACAATAATTGTCGATACCCACAGAAAAAAAACCGTTGAAATTGTTTCTGTGACGCAGTGTTCACTTGTCACTGTATCAGCGCTCGCACGACAATTCATACATAAAACAAAACTTGAGACGAATAGACTTCCGACTGGGATCTGAGAAATGGATTCGTGCGACGCTATTGGCAATTATTGCGACCGGGAGAGAGGGTCGGTGACAAGAAGGTGCCAAAGAGTGGTTTTCTGTTGGATAGGCAGGGAGAGAAAAAATTCAACCCAAATAAGCATATGGTGAATGTTCACAAAAATTATTTTTTTTAAAAGCCGCAGTTGAATTTTTCATTTTTTTGAAATAAGCACCAAAAATACATTATATTTAACTATCAATAGTGTTCAATGAAGTGTAGTGCAATAGAGAAGTCAAGTGCAAGTGTAGTGTGAGTGTGAAGTGGAGTGAAGTGCAGTGTAGTGTAGTGTATTTATTACTTAAAAATTCCGTGCAGGACAATCATAAAGTTTATAGGTATTGCTGTTATTGTTATGGTTATATTATTGTTATTATTGCCTTAAAATGCTTTAAAATTACAGTGCATTAGTATTCTTAGTTGTAATATGTAAATTGTAGTGATCTGCCACCAGGTTCTATACCTACCTGCAGAAATAATAAATCTATCTATCTAATTCGCTTGTATTTTTTTCACTGCAGGCCTGTGTAATTTCTTTCTGAATCTCCTATCGTGATTTCTTAGGTCTTGTTTTAAAATCAAGTCAACGTTTCTCACGAATCGCATTTCTACAACTGTATTATATTTCTGTATCTGGTGATCAGTTTTAGTTTTGTTTTTATCTAATCCTTCTTGAAATGCCGTTATCTTATAGAAGTTTTTTTATTCAATGTTTGTTAGATGGCACCATAACTAATCTGTAAGATGACAGATGTCTCATTCTCATAAATGCGATAAAGGTATATGGCAACCCAGAAATTTAAGAGAAGACAATTTTACTCTGTTCAATAATTTACTTGGACTATTAGTGCACTCAACAAAGGTGAATCTACGCTGGCATGTGATATAGGTCGTCAAAGGGGCGCTATTTAGAATATAACACTAAAACAACAACTCTAATTTCAAGGAACCTCGTAGGGGCGCTAATTCTATGTATGTCATGTCATTGTATGTATGCCATGGGTGCATGATTACTTAGATACAATCCTGTCACTAAAATAAGTACAGCAATCCACTTTACTTCCTCACTACCGCTTATGTAGTAAAGCGAAAGTTATGTAATGCTGCGCGAAGAAACGACGAATTGTGGACAGAAAAACTCTTATTTACAGTACACTGATAACAAAAATGTGGATAAATACATATGCTATTTTTTTAATCCTCTGACACGTGGTGTAACTACATTCCATGTTTTAGGGGTTCTTCTTACTGAAACATCGAATGACGGCAAAACGACTGTGTCTCCGTCCGTCTGTAAACTCGCTAGCGCATAAATCGTTCAACCCATTTTCTCTAAAATTGATATTCCCCCATCGACCTGGCGATGACGCGGTCCCTTGAATTTGAAACCTTTATTCAAATTTTGAAGGTACTGTACATGAAGCCCCTGAGACATTTTTGAAATTTTCAAAAAAAATTCTCCCTTGTTTTTAATTAAATGTTGAATAGTGTGAAGGTCATTTAAGAAAATAGTGCAAGTCTCATTTCTTTAAAAGCTCTGATTTTTTAGAAAATTGAAAAATTCAAACTTTTTCGGCGTCTTCATACAACTACAATGGTGAAAATATAGATTTTTTGCGATTTTTAGATTATTTCCCCGTAATTTTTCGTGAAAATAAGGGCGAGATAGTATGTGCTGTTTTAGCAACACTAATTCAACTTGATAGACGTTGCCCAGTTCGCGTTGTTTCTAATAAGGCTTTCTGGACACATCCACCACACCTCCACACACTCACATTTTTTTCAATTCCACCAACAAGAAAAAGTTGAAATGTTTTGGATAACCTTTGTGGCGTATGCTTATAAAAATTAATGTCGGTGAAGTAATAATGTTTTTGGTAAGTTTGTACTGCATGTTCGTTCGCAAAAAAAACGGAAAATTACCAATTTGCAGATACTGGAAATCTGTTTACGACAGTACAGTATAATAGATGCGTTTAGATGAAATACACTCTGCATATTTACCTTCATCACACCTACGTTCTCTTTACCATACAACTGTCGGGACGACTTTCAGGAATAAATATTTTTTTCTGCTTTTGATTTCACTTGAATTTTGCTTTCTTTTTTTGAAGTTAGGGCCTATTTTAATTACATTTATTATATTTAAATTCTAATTTTTTTTGTTTATAAGTCAACTATAATTACAACTATAGTTTTCATCGACTATTAGTTTTAAAACGCTTATTGAAGATTTAATGGCTCTTGGGAACAAAACCTCCACCTTAATTTTGGTTTTCGTTATTTCTCAGCACTTCTGAGGTCGAACGCCGAGATAGTTTTATGTATCGTGCATTTTGAGTGGCTTTGTGTTCTAATACATTATTATTATTATTATTATTATTATTATTATTATTATTACTCGAATTGTTGTTGTTGTTGTTGTTGTTGTTTAATACATTACACATAATAGAGCATTTAAATTTGTAATTATTAAATTGTTATCTTCTGAAGCAGTAAAGTATAATTTCTCTTTTTTGAGTTTGTTTTAAATGTGTTGTTGCGTTGTTGCTGTGATCTTTATTGAAATGAAATAGAAAAGAAGGGCATGCGAAATATTGTTTACGTATGGGATCTGGTTAAAAAACAAGTCTTCCGTTTCAAACTGAGCGGATGGTTATTTCACACACTAACAAATGCACACAAAAGCGACCTTGCGAAAGTTAATTAAAGCTTTTTCTCCCACAAAGCACACTTGTTCATTAAAATTTACGCCCGAGAAAATCTTGACTAATTAAAGCCGCACTAAATGTAATTTCTAAAGTTATTTTTCAGAGCACCGGCTGTCACTTTCATTATTAATCTTCAATATTGATTGTTTTCCTTGAGAATGAAGTTTTAATAAAATGCAAAGCACGTTCAAAATACAGGACAGGCTACGTTAGTAAATTGCCCGAACTTAATATCGTAAAAACCAATATTTCAATGCAGGAAACAACAAATAAATATTAAAGCATAAGTAGAAGTGGAAGGCTTATATGCCCTTCTTTAAGTATACCTCGGATGTAAAACTTGGTTTAATTTAGTAGCGCCGCCATAAATGCATGAATTGTTTTGTAATCTAAAATCTGGGTAATCTTTGATAATGTAAATATCGCAGATTTGTTAGCATGTATTAAAACATCTTCTGAAACATTTTTGCCAAATGTAGTTACATACATCTATTATAGGTCTAACAATGTATCACTGTTCAAGTTTCTGTTAGCTAATTAATACAAAACTAATTCCAGCGAGAAAATTGAAACAAAGGTATTTTGTTAAAACACAAAAGGGAATAAAGGATAAATATGTTCAGAATAAAACAGGCACCTATATTTTTTTAATACAAATATGTACTCATCATTCCCACTATATAGTACTTCAGTTTTTATTTCTTGGTACGTGAGGGCATGTGTTTACGATGTAATATGGCAGGACATTTCTCGTCTTTCTCGGTTGTGCCGCTAGATGCAACTGGTCGAGACGGTCGCAAGTATGATATCTAGCGGCACAACTGACAAAGACGTGAAATGCCGTGACATATTTCATCATGAAAACAGGCCCTCATACACCAAGAACTAAAAACCCAAGAATAGCAATAGCTACTATATCTTGACACATGTCTTAAGTTCATGTGATATTAGTAAAGAGTTGTAACCAACGAATTGCGATGCATCGCGTCAAGGGTTTAGGTTTGCCATAACCTCCCATTGGTCATTTGCAACAATGTCAAGTAGTGTCGTCTACGCAGCTTTGCTGAGGAGCATAAAGTGACCTGAAAACCCGTCACTAAACAAACAAGCACGCGGTAACAATATCGTAGGAGAGAGGACACCCAGCGGAGAAAGGCTGGAGAATAGCAGTCATTTAAGTACGTACTCACTAATGCCAGACTGCAAATCCGCAAGAGAGAGGTGCGGCCGTACATGGGCAAACCGGCGAAAAGGGCAGTCCCAGAGAAAAAGGTAAACAGAGCCTTCCCGCGCTTTTTCGTCGCCGGAGCCGTGCGCCGGAGCCGCATGGCAATGAGGGCGGAACAGCGCGCGTCCCTCGCGTCTCGCCTCGGAAGCAACTCTCCGGCGAATAACAAGCTAATTAATCCCACCCGCTCGCCGCCCCGCAGGGACAGTCGAGGGACGGCTGGGGTTGCGCAGTGGGCCAAAATGCCTCCAAGAGCGCACACAACAAATTGTCAGTGACGTTATGTAATTATTTATATGTTTATTTAACGTAAACTATAGTTTAAAACGGCGTGTGACGTACTGACGGGAGAAGAGCAATTTCTGGGCTTCTCTTAAGCTCTGGGATTACTACCCTAACTCATATCCATACTAAATTCAATTATGAAAGCAGGTAGCAACTATCATTTTTTGTTGTTATAATTGTTAAGAAAGTATTCGCGCCCGTGTAATAAAAACTATTCGCTAAGGCAAATGCGCTCCAGATTGAGATTATCCTTTGTCGCGCCTCACGTGAAGGAATCGACTTGCTGCCACGTGATCACGGAGAGCAATTATTTGAAAAACTATATTCCCCACTGTGGTCAAGAAGAGTGCATAGATTGTGAAGCTACATTAATCTCAGCATTTGCTCAAAGGATCACGAAAAGTAGACTAAAGTCCGTATGGAGATCGTTGATTCTTAAGCTGTGCTACAAATGGTTTCATTCCTGTTACGAGTAGCTTTATGCACTCTTATGTAGTTTCCTGAAGAAATGTAAATTTACTTTACGTGTACATCGCGATCATTCTACTGTTCATTGTTCGGTGTATGACTACAATTACAAACGTACACTATTTTA